TGCTGATCATGACCCTCTGGGCTCTGCCACTTAGCCAGTTCTCCATCCACCTCACTGTCCACTCAACCAACCCACACCTCCTGAGCTTAATTATAGGGACGTTATGGGAGACAGTGTCAAAAGCCTTGCAGAAGTCAAGGTAGACAACACGCACTGCTCTCCCCTCATGCTCTGTGTTTCAGAACTAGAGCAAGACGTCGATGGTCGAGTTTTCAAAGCGGCTATAAACCCAGTGTTGGGAAAAGCCGTAAGCACTAAAGAGTCCAAGAACAGCCCACCACAGAGCTGAAGGTTAAAATTGGAATACTAGCACAACACAAGATAAGCAGGTACGTTCAGTGGGCTTTTCACACTGACAGAAGCACACAGATATTTTAAGGTGGTTAAATAAGTGTTACTTATCTTCTGTAATGAGTGTTACTGCGTTCGTATTAGCAGCGTTAAAAAACAGAAGTGAAGGAGGCAGATTTAAAAAAACAGAGACCCTCCAAGAGCCTGACCACGCATTAAGCTTCAGCTCATTTGTCGTGACAGGAGGAAGTTCACTGTCAGCATTACCTCCTACTTACTGAATACTGAAGTCTTCTCTTGGAGATAACAGGGAGGCAGCAGTCTAATTTTTCCCCACACAGTGAGGAGGCCTTCCTCCTCTCCCCTAACATAACTGGGCAAGGTTGAAGCCACCAGTAAAATTCTGCAAGCTTCCTCAGGCCCCTGATGCCAGATCACGTGGTCATTCGGAAGATCAGAATTAACTTCTGTCTCAGTAATTCTAGGGATTAGTAGCCATCAAGCGTCCAGCACCTCAAGATTTAAAAAGATTAATATCACATTTCCTGGACTACTGTCACAGTAACAGACGAATTCAGGACAGCACATTGGCTACCTGAATTGCTCCATATATGAAACCAGTTCTGGAAAACAAAGCGGTGCCTAATCATACCGTTCCTAAAGTGATTTTATCTGATACTCTGCTTTAAAAGAAATTGGAAGTGATAAAAGAAAACACAAGCATTTCCTCTGGATGAATAACAAGACCATAGATGTATGGCAACGCTCCTCCCGAAGAGGTATCTAGGAACAACTAGTTCATAAATGCAAGTAATCTGTGCACAGGAACATCGTAGCAAGAGCAACAGTTTAGGAAGAAGGAGGAGTGGAAAGAGGGAAGACAACAACAAATATTTTAGCTCTAAGTGACAGTTATTCCAAATGCAGTTCCATGTGCTTTTCTGTCAAAAGTGCACATACCACCACAGAGAGTTATTCAAGAGTAGCTCCAGAAACAGTCCAGGAACACAGACAAACCCTAACAGTGTCAGGAGGAGGACAAAGTGGAGAGCGTAAGATGATGCAAGAATACAGTAAGAGTCCATAGTAAAAAAGATGGCACCAAAATTTATTGATCTTTGAAGAAAACAGACACTGATGAAGAGAAGCAGGTTTAGTATAGCGACAGACTTAGTGAAAGGGGAGGAATGGAGGAATACTCGGCTGCAACAACAGACTCAAAGGTAGGAAAAGTAGGTGTCAGTACAAGCAATTTCCACGATTCACCAGCAACCAAATAGAATCTCAGACAGGAAAAAATATTTTAGAAGTATTTCACCTACAGTTTTGCTTTAGAAATGGAAAGACTTGGCAAAAGTTATTTTAAATACCACAAACCCACCACCGTTTTAATTAAACGCTACAGCCTCACAATGTAACTGCTAAAGAAATTGGAACTACTCAAATTCATTAATAAAGCATGGACTGGTAAAGCATGCAAGAAACCAGTACTGCCAAAAGCCTGCTGAATAAAAAGATGTTTCAAGCTCAGGTAACGGGCTTGAAAAACACAAGTGTTACTTACAGATTATTGTAAATCAAGAAGATACTATACACATATCCAAATACATACCAACAGCAAATGAAGTGAGCGCAGATCTTTAGTGTAATGAAAAAGGTTCTGCAGTATGTCTTGCACAGTTTTATCCTCCGAGAGATGCTAAAAAAAATGTAAGTGATATTTTAATCCTCTCAGCAAATCATTTCATACTCACCTGAAAAAACACCAGTTAGCTAACTCTCAGAAAGAGCTCAGCTTATGCTTGACAATACAATTCTTCCTGTCTAACCTTAACTTTCTGGTCTTTTTTGTGACACTTCTAATTTTATCTCCAGACTTCAATAAGCAGAGATTCTCTATCACAACTTGATTTATTGCATATCAAACTCAAACAGTGAAAGGAAATACTAATCTTTGGTAAAAGCTTTACAATTACAAACTGGTCTTACTTTAGAAGTTTTACTAAAACCAAGTATAAAGAGCTTTAAATACCTGAACATTATTATTCCACTTTTGTGCAAAAGACTCATCAGGAAATTTTTGAGAAAGCTGTTCCTTGAAAATCCTAATGTATTGTTTAAAATCAAAGGAATTCATCAAATATATCTGTCGGTGAGAGAATCGCGATTTTACTCTCTTCTCCAAGAGCTCCAGGATATCCTTGTTAAAAAAATAATTAAAAAAAACCAGATGCATTAAGTGCATTCTTTGCTACAGTAAAAACTACAAGAGAAAACACCAAAATAAGTCATGTTAAAAAAAAAAAAAGAATGTTCTAACAAGACCTTTGGTAATTATTGTAATTGATGTGCCTTGAAATGCCTAACAACTAGCCATTTACCCAAATCATGTGATGCACTACATCATACAGGATAATTAGTTGCTAGGTTACCCAGCAAAATTTCTCCATAGATTATGTAAATATTTCAGTTACTTAAGTCTGCATTCAAGATGTTTCAGCCTATCACGGCTCTAGCCAAGTTGTCTATTTAGTAGATACGTAGGTTGGCAGCTGTCAGTTCACATGCCTTTTGTCAGACTGAAAGAATCCAGCTTAAAAAGAGAGAAAACTTAAGAGCCAATATTTATCTTCTGTCACACAGAACTAAACAAGTCTGCCATCAAGTTGTTGGTTGAAGATAAAAGAGAGAAGCTTACTGTTCTCAGAACAGATAGCCATCAACAGAAACAAGCTGTGGGATTGATCCGTTCAGAGAAACGCAATACTATTCCCCTACCTTATACTGGGACAGAATGGTTAACACTTCTAGTTTCTAGGAATTTGGGGTAGGCCTTTTTGGTTTTTAAGGGGGTTTTTGTGTGTTGGTTTTGGTGTTCTTACTTACACTAAAAAAAAGGTTTTAAAAATATTGAAATTCCTCACCAAAAAGACAGCAGTAAGAGTAAATAGAGCCAACAGTGTAAAATATAAAGACCCCGTTCGATTAAGTCATATGCAACAGGGACCAGTGATTCAAAAAAAATCAGACCTCAGAAGCAACAGCTGTCACTGCAGCCATGGTGCAGCTATGAAGACATTCAAAAGCAGAGCAATACAGGGTTCTAAATAACGGGTGATGAGGATACCAGACTCGGGTCAGCAATGAAGCAAAAGAAAAGTTTGTCATTTACTAAACCAACTATTAACTATTCTATTAACTTCCAGAAATTTGCCCAGCTAAGTATTACCTAAACCCAATCAGCCCCAGATTCAAGCTTCGATGAAAGATTTTAATTCTTCTTCTTGGCATAACCCAGCCATCTTCACCACCAATCCAGTTTATTGAGAAAGACAGTATAATTTTTATAAAGTATCAGCTGCCATAGCATTACAAAGTAATTATTTCACAGTACATATATAATCGGTCCACAGGTCCCTATGATGTCATTGTAAAAGTCACGGCACGTTTAACACTGATCCTAAACCCATTTTGAACATGCTAATATTATAGCAAAAGTGCCCTCCTGAACTGTTTCCTTAAAAAAAAAAAATACCTTGTCCTCAGAACAATGATTTCAATGCTGTAGGTTAATACAAGTTGGTTCTTACCAACTGCTGGCCAAGAAACTGAAATGCCCAGAAGCCTCTCCAAGGAGTGAACGACAGTATAGTATAAAACAGCCACACGGATATACGGCTCTTCTGTGGTAACGTAGGACAACAGCCTTGTGTTTCCTCAGAAACGTAAACCTGCTCCTCTAGCAGTAAAACTGAAGACTTTGCAGTTTTTTGGTCATCTAAGTTTGCTCTAAGCATAAATTTTTACTCTTTTTTTTTTAAATCCCTCCCACTCCCCTTCCGAATTACAAAGTCAGAAAGACAGATAATTGAGAAAAGTCTCTTAGTAAATTAAGTAAGGTTTCAGGAGAAGAGAAAAACATTCCAGCTAAGACAAAAGTTCCGTTGAAACAGATAAAAAATTTGAATGAGAAGGCGCAAATTCTTACCTGTCTACATGTAAGTCCAATAACTGTTACTGGAGTCTGTGCTGACTGGGATATATCAAAGAGGTTATAGAGCAGTGTCTGATTCTTGTGATGAACGAACAAGTCAAATTCATCCAGTATAAACAAGACTGGACAACTGCTACTTCGATTTCCTGAGACAGTAATTCTAGAAGTTAGTACGGTAACTTCATCATCAGACTTCCACCTCTACAGCTTTCACAAATTCCCTTTTTCACAATTTACATATTTTCTTTTAGCTTTTCACTAAGCCCTCCTTTCACATATGTACTGATACAACAGTAAAAAGAAAAATACACTGAACAATTGGTAAGGTTTTTGTAGCATTCTGCCAAGTATCATTTCTCGTTGCAAGGGAAGACAGACTTCTACAGCACATTTTTTAAAAAACCAACTATTTTTAATAGCTTCACTCAGGATAAAAGAATCTGTCCTTCATAGCTGACCATCACATGCAAGCCTTTATGGCATCAGTCACTTTATGTTTGTTTAGTATTACTTCTTATTTTTCGTGGTATTTTGTAAGCTCTGTTGAATGTGTCATCATTTCTTCATGGGCTAGATTTCTTCATACCACTTGCACAAGTAGACGAAGAAACACATATATGCTAACGTTTCAGTCAAGTGACAAACACACACAGAGAGTTTCAGGACAGGGGCTACTAGTGCTTACCTTTCCTTAAAGCTTCAAGAAGGAACACAAGATTTTCAGCAAAACTGCCCTACACAGAAAAGAAAAAAGTTTCACAATAGATTTTCAATGTTGTTCTCAGAATTGTGTACCTACATCAAGTTCAGGCATGTAATGAAGCCCATTTCCTTCTAAAACCCTGCTTTCAAAACCAGTACATATTTGTAAATTTACAATGTTACCTCATGTTGTAAAATCACCACCTCTTCAGGACACAAAAAGCGCTCGTTAAGTCCACATTGATCCACTTTTTTCCAGTCTGAAAACTCCAAACTATTTGCCTCCAGCAAAAATGTCAGAAAACTGTCTACAATAAGCTAAATTCACAAGTCACTTTATCTTTCCTTAAATAGCTATTGCATACTCATTTTACATCTACAGACGTGCAAAAACTGCCACCTAACGTGTTCCACTGCGAATGATCAGCATGCAGGTTTTTAATTTGCAACCTTATTAGACAGAAGAAAGCATCAAACATTCATGACAGAAAACAATGAACCGCTATGACCATCCTGCTTCAGTTATACACACATTTACACACTCTGCGGCACACAAGTTGTGAGATGGGGAAATAACTATAACTGCAGACCACAAGCACTATCGAAGAAGGCAGAAAAGCCAATTTACTCTCTGCATGAGTTGCAGAAGCTAAGAAAGGACAAGTTTCTATGGACAGAAGTAAGGACATTCCTGCAAATCAGTATGTTTCCATGCCCGTGTGCAACCAAAGGGATTAGACGGCTAAGAGTTTAAAGCAGTACTTCACAACAACTAACAGGGAAAGTTACAAGGGAATTAAGCATATTTAAGTCTAGTTTTGCCTCCAGCGTATTTGGTAGTGGAACTGTGGACCTTGAAAGGTTGTTCTAGAAAAGACAACTCATTCAAATGGCTAGGCTGGAATTAAACACTTGCTATTTCCTTTTAGGACTGCAGCTGCATTTGGGAAAATTTTAGCTCACCCCCAGAAAGGGTTTTCCATTCTCTGTATCTACAATCGTTTGCGGTAAGTAAGAAACCAAAGCACAGCCTAAGAAGCAAGGGTTCCCAAAAGATAGTAACAACAATCTACACTTCACCTTGTATTCCATACTGCTTCTAACCTAGTTCTCTGGTTTCTCTTAACTAAAGTAGTAACATCTTATCTCTTTAGCTTTCCAAATGCAACCGATGAAAATAAACCTCATCTATTGAGATTTCACCTTTCTCCCCTCTCATAATTCTGCTTTAGCCACTTGGATCGGTATTACGCAACTCACAACTACGTAAACTCTGCCAATCTCAAAGGCCCTCTCTGGGAGCAAGGGAGGAGACAATGCTCCAAAGGACCTTCTGTCGTACCAGAGGATGGCCTCTCAAGAACACTCACTGAGTAACAGGCAACAACTAGGGTAGCTCAGATCACTAACCCAAGCTATTTCACACTCCAATGAGTGAAATTTCATCTGAAGCACTTCAGTTCTTCTCTTTATCACTGACTTTAGTGCTAACGTAAATGAGTTTCTTATCTTTGGGAAAAGGTCAAGAGAAGCAAATATTTCAATTGAAATTCTATGCAAAATGAGAGCTCTAAGAAGCCTGGATAGATTTCCCTATGAACTAGAAAAGGTTGCAAATATGCTAAAGATACTGCCTTTGGGCTGGTCAACTTGCTTACTCTTAGTCTTGAAATGTTAAACCTGATGTTTCCAAAATACTCTAACCCTCTGAACAAAGTGTCTTTGGAATGCTTAACGTTTGTTTCATTTAGAGGCTTGAAGCAAGTGTTAAGTGAGTCTTTTTGTTCTTCCTCCTTCTCTAAGTCAAAGCGGATGGTTTTTGAAAAAGTATGAGGATGCTATTGCTCAACTAGCAAAATGTAACCTTCAGCACCTATGTCGAGCACAAGTATTTGTTGGCATGCTTGAAGTGTCTGTAAACCAGGGTTTTCACAGGTAACTGCTGCCACAGTTCACTACTGCCATCAATTATTAAATATTTTTAAAAGAGAAAGCTTTGAGAAGACTGAGCCACCCCATCACAATTTTGCTAACAAACTCTCAAAGTCCATTCAGTCTCAACAAGCTGCATTCTATAAAACTAGTTTTCTAGGCAAAGATTTTTGAGGGAGATAAGCAAATAGTATAATAAAGTTGATACTTACAAAAACTTTATCCCCAACCACATTTTCCAGGTGCAACTGCCTGGTGATCTCCTTCAGGGCCACTTTATCATTAGTCTGGAGAAGCCCTGAAAGAAAATGATTTTTCATGAAGAACTGGCAGTTCTCCTTCACTCCAAGAGGCCATGTCAACAGCCACTAGAAACTTATCCAGAAGCTTCTCTCCATTTCCAGCCTTACAAAGCTATGTTTTTTATAAATTAAGACTAGACAGTAATTTTCCATACATAATAAGAAGTTACTTAAAACAATTCGCTCACAACTGAACTGATTTTTAACACGTTGAAAAGTCATTAAAAGCACAAAGGTTCTCTTTATATAGAGAGATACAAAGAAAGGAAGGCATTTTGGAGCTCATGAACAAAAGTGTCCATAATCGAGGCTAGACTGAAACTGCTGAAACCAAAATTTTTGCTCAGTACATACAATATATAACAGCTGAATATAACATGACATTTGAATAATGCTGTATTACTTGCCATTCAGATGAACTTCCAAGAGATTCTCTCTGACTTGTTTCATTTCCTTGAGCTCCTTTAAGACATGATTTAATAACTAGAAAAAAAATACATAACTTCTTATAAAGAAGATTAATGTATTAACAGTAAGAAAAGCGTACAAATGGATATTATCAGATAGGAAACAGTAGGTGCAGTTTCATTAGGTAACAATGTTTTTGAGTATTTTCAACGCTGAAATACTAAAATGACAACTTTGCATTCACTATCATGACTGTAGCAATTACATTTGTTCATTCTGCTGAATTAGTAGGGAAAGAAACACAAAAATAACTCCAGTATTTTAGTCACTCATTTTTTGGGGTGGTATCTGGGGCTTTTGCCTTAATCAAAACCAGCTTTACGAGTTCGAGATGTGAGAGAATCTGTCTCAAGGTAGTATAGTATTCAGCTTCATTGCTTCAATAGATCCTGCAAAAACAAAGCTCTTTGCTTTAAATCTTTAAAGACATTACGCTTATTCTTTTCCTTTTGAAGTTAGGAAGCAAGAGATAAAATGCACATGATTACATCAGCTACCGCTTATAAAACTTAGGGGTCCTAAATTTACAGTCGATCAAGAACTTGTTCTTGGTAAAAGTCATAAGGAACTTGTATTAAAATATGTATAAGTAGATGAAATGTTAACTTTCCATTCACTTGCTACTTCTTTGCTTTTGCTTCCTCAGCTGCGAATTTGCAGCTCCCATCTATGTGTATATATACACACAAACACACATACAATTTTCTTGTCACCAGCAGTCTTCTTGGAGACGCAAGATCTTTCACTTGATATAGAATAAGAAAATCATTCACTTCACATATATGATTCGCTTACTTATATTCTGACAGGAAGGATCACAAATTTTCATCTTCACTATCCTTATGTAAAAGGTTTGGAAGAAAATTTAAACTTCAATTAAATAATAAAAAGAGTTCGAATTTTGGTGTTTGGGGGGCATATGGTATTTGAGGGATCGTTCTGTTGGGGATTTTTTAAAAACTTTCACATTTACTCCAATTTGCTTGCAGTATAGAGCTCATCTATGCTTCTAAATACAGTATCAATAGAAAAGTAGAAGTTTACTCATGTAAACATAAAAGACTTAAGTATTTGCCTAATATTAAAGTGTGTAACACTTAAGTTAGATGTCAGCCTTTCACATGCCTCAACGAAAGAGTTCCTTTAAAAATACAAACCCTACTTTGTAAACTAGAACTACCATACAATATTGTTACCTAAGTTACTAGGAAGTAGAATATTCTCCGACACCTTTAAAACAGGATTAAGATACCTTACCATTCTCTACATATAAAGAGCTATGTAGAAATCCTTAGTCTACTCCTTTTACAGTTTTTGGATGCCTTTTCAGTCATTTTTGCAGCAGAGGCCCAATAGCAATTAGCAGGTTAACTTTTAAAGAGTAAGCAAAACGTGGCTTTAATTGCAAAGATGAACTCCTCCGTAGCAAGAAGCATTACCGAATTGTAACAGGAGAAATGCTGAAAGAAGGCAGAATCTTTCATGTAGTCGTATCACTGAACGACAAATGCAACTTGTTCTGACAAAATTATTTCCATTTTACATGTTTTGGGTACCTGTAGCATGTCATGAAACCTGGTGAAGACACCCAAAGAATTTCAAAACCATGCATACTTCTGCAAGTCATTGTGAGGGTGGATAGGTACACATTTTTGTCAGCTGCCCATGAAGCTGTTCTATTTGACAAAAATCACCAGGAACTCAGCACTTAAAATTTCAGAAGATTGTCAGGAAATCAATTTCTCCATATTGTTATTCAACAGAATTAGCTCACAAGAAGCCCTAGAATGTTTTGAAATTATTGAAACAATTAGCAATTCTCTCTTTTCAAACAGGCAGAGATGAAAATTTAGCTCCAAGAGTTCCCAGGGCTTCAGTCAGGTTATCTATTTCAGGCTTCATTTGACCTTGTATAAACTTTTAAAACATGTTTATACCGCAGTCTTTCCTGATCCTCGGGGTCCAATAATGAGGGCAGAATTACTTTCTCCATGAACTGTAGTTCGTTTCAGTAGTTCCAGTAGATGTCTGTGTTGACAACAGCAATAGGTTAAAAACTTCGAACCAGACAACATTCACTGAAACTACGGAAGACTCAAAGAATCTTTAGAACAGAAGAGAAAACTTGATACATTTCAACCTGCTCTCAGAGCCAACACTCAGGGCATGCAAAATGTAATACAATAAAGTACAAAAGGCTCAGTGATCAGATCTCTTAAAATATTTTAAAATATTAAAACATGCAGAAGTTGGGAGTATCACTAATTCAGAAAGTTCTACAATTCCCCACCATGAAAGAACAGACGTCAATAACTACTTCTTTCTCTAAAAAAAAAGAGAGATTGCTTCCTGTGATACCACTATAGTTCATGAAAAAGGAAGACTGGCAAACATATTGAAGGAAAACCTTGACAGCAGTAAAAATTAATAATCTAGTGGAATATATTCATTTTGACAATCTTCATAAAACTGATTATACGCTAAATTTAGGCATTCAAAGCTTGTGAATGGTAACAGCAATATTGAAGTTCAAGTTCATATTCTATTCCCATCCCGAAGGAACAAAGAACAACTCTAAATTATCTTCAGATAGACTTATCACCTAGTACCACATTTAAAGTACTTACTGACACCTCCAATTCCCAAACATTTACAATGCATACTTTTAATATTCCTCTTTTTTTCTACTTAAAATATTGACATCATGCAATCACTTCTAAAGGAGTGATAGAGTCATCATGGAACAGCTGCAGCAAATGGATGTGGTTTTATCCACTATTTGAGAGCTAAAAGAGTTGGGAAGTTCATTATCTTTTCTCTCCAGTATAATTCACCAACAGTGGCATATTAAGGAGAAGACAGTCTGTAAACTGTTTTTCAGAATTCCAGTTCAAAGAGAGAAGGCTTGTTTTGCCAAACACTAACATCACAGAATCACATTTTCTTGCAACAACAATAAACATGTCTACCTGTGCTCTGCATATACATTACACTACACTTTTTAAATAATAGAAATGTTATTTTCCTTCCTGTAAGGGAAAGGAAACTAATGCTCACATCAGGTGATTCAACTTGCATAAAGTTACTCGCGGAAAAATTGATTATTTAAAACAAGTTATTTAGATGTGCATGTTATTTTCAGAATTTGACCTGCACCTGTTAAAGTATTAGTATTAGGATAGCATTATTGTCACAGTCGGTCCCTTCTTCCTAATTGTAACCTCTGCATACGGATGACCCCAAGAAGTAGGTTTGTTTTAAATATGGGTCTCTACTTCAAGAAACAGGACGTTGGCATCCAAGATTTAAGATTTACTTTTAACGCAGCTTACCAATAAACAAGAGAAAATCTGAAGTAAAAATAAAGAGTCACAACATGAGAATTCAACTTTTTGCTTGGTCAGGTCATTAACCATAGCCTTAGAACATGCACTAGAAGGATCCTTCAGGCTCAAAAAAAAAAGTGTTTCAGGAATTACAGATTTGAAACAAGGAGTCCAAAACTCAGAGCCTGACAAAACAGGAATCAACGGTCGTATAAAAACTCTTAAAATCTGAGTAAATTTTTAGAAGCATTGCACTGCAAGTCATTTAAGCTGTATAATTAAACAGCAGAAAATTCTGACTTCACCTGATTATTTTTCTATTGTGGTTAAAGTAGAAATTAGTCAGTATTTGAGTCTGCTCACTCACCTGTGCTGATGTTCAATCCCAAACAGTTTTCCAGTAGCATAATGGTGACAGAATCTTTCACGTAAAATTTTTTGCACCTACGGATATAACACAAGATAGACAGAATGCTTGGTGCTTCAAACACCAGAATGTACCAATGATGTAATTACCGCAATAAAATAATAGAAAAAATATGGATGTTTCTGTGCTGCTACAAATAGTCTGTAACATGTAAATTTTAGTTGTCATCAGTGATACAGGGGTCTTAAAAGTAAGAATAACGTTGCAGTAAGCAGAATATTTAACGGAGTTTTTTGTAGCAGAAAAGAGAAAATGCAATTAAATGATAGCAATATGTGTCTTTGGTCTCCTCTGCGATAGTTTCTTTCCCTCACCCCCAAAGGGATGTTATACATGTCACTAAAATTACGTCAGTACTTCATCTAATTCATAGTTCTAACTTACTGTGTAATACAGGCAAGAAAACATTTACCAGCTGAGTTAAATAAAACATAACTCACCTAGTTATTCCCCCAAATCCTCAGTGAACACACTTTTTGCACCACTCGCAACAACATGGAAGCCTACCACATTCAAACATTAGAAAGCATCAAATTTACAGTTTCTTCGAAGATTCAGTTCAGATACCTTGTTCGTGAAGTTTGTACGGGGAGCAGGAAGTAGCATGAAAATGAAGCTAATATATTGCTTACAAAGGATTGAATGAAGACTATCCCGCTTGATTTTTAGATCAAGTTGTGAAGTCCTTCAAATTACACAGTGAGTACAGTTATTTTAACTATCCATTTGGATGTATTGCTTGGGATATCTTTACATACACGTCTGCACTCACTTCTCTTTTCCAGGTTAAGAACCGTTACTTAAAACTGTATCTTCAATTCTCAAACAGCCAACCTTCAGCATCATAGCAGATTTTTTCCTACCACTTGACTAGCAGCATGCAAATTGGACAATCCCAATTTTTAAGAATTTACAAGACTCTCTACTACGACTTCTCCTCACCTCTCATTTAAGCTATCCTAATATACCTGCATACTCCATCCTTTTATAATGCTTGGTGTTCAGTTTAAGTGCTCATTGCCAAAGAATTTCAAAGATTAAATTGCAAACTATTAATGAAGTGATTTTCCTTTAAAATCCCATTTGAGCACCTTGCCTTTCCATTTAAGTGAATGTCCATTTGACCTATAAACTAACTATATCATTATCATGCCCATTTGTGTCATTGCTTTTCCATTCTCTCAATCATAGAATCATTATGGTTGGAAGAGACCTCAAAGATCATCAAGTCCAACTGTATACCTGATGCCATCATGCCCGCTAAAACCTCTAAACCATGTCTCGAAGCGCCACATCTAAATGTTTTTTGAACACCTCCAGGGATGGTGACTCCACCACCTCCCTGGGGAGCCCGTTCCAATGCCCAACGACTCTTACAGTGAAGAAGTTCTTTCTAACGTCCAGCCTGAACCTCCCCTGGTGCAACTTGAGACCGTTAATCTGAGTTGGCTCATCTTCCCTCCAGGTGGTTTTCCTCTACATTCTTCAGTTGCACCTCTTAACTCAGTCCTTTTTCATTTCTGCTGAATCTTAAGAAATCATGAAAAAGTGCGGTGTTCTACCCCAGGTAAACCTATACTGAGGCAACACTGTACAGCAAATGTTTTGAGTTTCTATCACCTTAGGTGGCAGCTACTCGTCCATGCCTGTTTTAGCCGACCAGTCACTGTCCTGGCATACATTACTAACAGGCTTTTAGTATCTTGAAAATACGTCTTCTTCTAACACTTAGCTAATTTATAATTTGTAATGGACTTATCACCATCAGCTCTCAGTGGCTGTGGTTTAAAAATAAATACATCTTTGTGAAGTACTCCTCAGTAAGTCTAAACAATGGCCAGAAGAACAATAGAAATCTATTTTGCTAATAATTCCACTTTATGAAAGGAATTCTTTTTTAATATGAGCTGTACTTGTCTACCTGATTTGTCAGTTACCTTTTCTTCTACTAAAGTCTTACTGATTTAATTTCCAGATTTATTCTGTTTTAATGAATAATCTATCTGAACAGTCAGCATTGTCCTTTCACAAGTAAAAAGTTTTCCTCCTATAAAGGGATTTTATAGGTAAATGAAGGAGAGGTATTTTAATATAAGAAAACACTGAACCAGATGTAATTCACTACAAGATGCACCACAATTTTTAAATAGTCACTTAGAGAAAACAGAAGAACAAAGTTTTAAAAAAAATCCAAACTGAAAACTGATTTGACAGCTGCTGTCCTGCCTAACCTAGGCTGTTAAAAAAAAAAGTCACCTAGATTCTGATTCACCCTACAAACCAGAAGGTAAAGAATATGACTAGATAAAAATAGATTTATGCAAATCTGTCGCCACAAACAGTTGTAAAAGCACAAGACCATTCTTTGCCATTTTTATTATGGCTCCAAAAGGTAGATCATTACTATAACACTTTAAGCAAGCAAACATCAGGTGAGAAGCTGAAAGAAATATAGAACATAAATCCAAAAAACATTTACAGCTCTAGAAATTCTATCAAGTATCTGTACATGCCTTTTTAACTAGTCTAGTAAAAAAACTACAGAATGATATGGATGGCAGAGGATTGAAAAGTTTCGTAACTTAAAACCAGTCAGCTACTAAAGATGTTACTAACCTGTGAAATGCATTCTCCATTTGGTCCACTGCTCTCCTTCAACTTACGTTTACTCATTGCAGAAGTTTTCATCTTCAAATAAGAAACAGAATACAAAGGTTATCCTAAATAACATTGCTTTCCAAATAACAAGAGTCAGAAACTGTACCTAGATGCTAGTAAACTAGATTTAGTACAGCAAACACAAGACAGTCGCTCATTTATAAGAGCTTAAGTTGTAATGACCATCTTTACTTAACCGATAAAGATGTAGTAGTTCACCTTACTAGCGAAAAAAATCCCAAAACGTTGAAAGCATTTTTAATTAATTTCTGATTAGATTAAATCCATGTTTACATACAACTTCTGAACAGCATTTGCTTCGGGATGCTTTTCAACGCAATGCAAATAGTACCTCATGTAACCGATATGATAGACTTCAAAGTTTTTCTAGCAAGTTCTTAACAGCAACAGTGACATTCACAAGTCATGCCAAGTTCCGCTAAGACAGCGCAGCTACCCGTAAGGTGATTCGCACAGAACCAGGAGTGGCACAGCTCGTGAATTTACACTTTGGATACATTATTGTGAACAACCAAATCGATACTCTTCAAATAAGTTGTATTAACAAGTGACATTTGTACACCTCCTCCTCTGACTAACCACCAAGTGTAATTTGTTCATCTTAATTGCGTTTAAGATTGTTTGAAACCCTGTATTCATGTTTATGCAGCTGGAACAAGCTGCAGGCACATGGTACCATGTTAAGTCACGACAATTAAGTTTTTATAGGAACAACTAGCTATCCATATTTACACTGGCACAGCTTCTAACAATAACCACAGTGCTTCACTAGACAAGCAGCACGAGTAAAAACCAATTCTCCTTCTTTGTGCTAACAGAAAGCTTCCAAGACTGGCTTACGCTTATTTCAGCACAGCTGCTTCCCTCTTCTCCCAGTTTTGCTCCTTCTATTGTAAGGCCAGCATCGTTCAGTCCCCTAACACTGTAGCTACGCCTACAAAGGGCGAGACTAGCTACCAAAAAAAATACATAAATAAAGTCGTCGCTACAGGAGCGGATGCAAAGGAGTGCAAGGCACGAACACACAAAGCCGTTAGATTAATTAAAGCGGAGCGCGATAGCAACGAGACTACCGGACGAGGAGCACGCCCGTTCCCGTTTTTTATCGGGGGCCCGGAAAGTTACACCGAAGCCCCGCAGCCATCA